TGGAGTACTTTTCATCAAATGAGAGACCTCCCAGTAAGAAAATGGCATGCTAAAAATGCACTTGGATTTGATAAGGAGCAAGGAACGATATCTCATTTGTAAGCATTTTTCTGGTATGATATATTGGAATATTTGTCTGTGTTTTAGATAAATATTTTTACTTTCAAAAAAGTTAATTGTTATTAATGAGTGTGGTTCTGAATTGAAGCATTGCTTTCTTCCCAGAGGGCAGAAATTTTAATATGCTATTGATAAGTATACCCATATTAGTTGTGATAAAAGCAAGGTAAAGGAAGATTTTGCATCAGCAGCCCAATATGAAAATGAGAGTGTGAATGAATGCAACTATCAAACGATTGCATCTTGTTGGTTGATGTAGTGAGCTGGATTCATTTCTGGTAAATCATTTTAAGTAACAGGAGATTATTTTATCAGGATGTACAGATAGTAACAGGTGCTTCATTTATTTAAACATCCAGAAATTAGTAACTGGTTGAGTTAGAAGATAAACTGTGTTGTAATAACAGGCTGCTTTGTTGACTTTAAAATATAATTCATCATGTAAGAAGCTTAAGTAGCTTTTGTTTTACTGGTACTTCTAAGGGTAATTTCAGAACACTGAAGATGGTGACGTGCAATTCATGTTATTCTTAGTGCTGAAAATTCAGAGGGTGATTTCTCTGGAACCAGGTAAGCAAAACTGGTTGCAAAGTCATTTCCACTTGACACAGAGAATGTGATTCCAGAGTGCACTGGGGGAAGGAGCCTCCACAGGCCAGGGTGTGCACTTGGTGTCTGGTGCAGTCTCCCCTCTTGAACCAAAGCCAAGATAACACTTTTTAAAAACATTCTTTTAAACAGAGATTGCAACTGGGGATAATATTTTTCATGATGGGTAAGAGAGAGACTGGTGCAGGTAATCTGATGTAGGCTATGAAAAAATAGAAGTATGTGACTTGGAGAAAAGATCAAGTGGGGTTAGGGATATGAAGAAGCCAACAATGGTGGTGTGTTAAAGGGTGGTCTGCGATGTTTAATAAGGTCTTGTCAAATGTCTTGCTAGTAAGTATCCATAAACTGCAAAGATGTTTTCTTGTAAGCAGCTTGATGGTTAATAGTGTGCAGAGATGCTCTCCTGTCAGCTGGAATACACTGACCTCTGCAGGATGAGGGCCTCTGTTGGGAACCAGTGTCAGGATCATAACTCTTCTGATTATTTTTAAATGTAATTTTATGATTCTCTGCTTTCAGATGAGCTTTAAAGAAAACCTAAAAAACCACCAGTGATAATTTATAAAAGATTGTTGAGAATTTGTGCAATGCAGAATTTATCAAGTATTTTCAGCACTTCAGCTGCTGTGTTATAAAACATCAGGATACTGTGATCTCACTGATGGTGTGTTTGATGTATTAGAAATTTTTTGATCAGCATTCATGAAGGTTACATAAGGTTATTCTTTCCTGCTGTAGTTTACCACGGTGTGTGCTGTTAAACCAGTATCAGAAACTGTATTGTGATTTTTGTCTGGATCTTTTGTACCTGGCAGCATATTCCTTATTTGTATTAAAGTAATGTCTATTCAGCCCTCTGGGCCTTGATGATAAGTGAGGCACACAGTGGAGGAGGATCCTCGTCTGGAGAGCCTATAGCAGACTTAGACAAGCTGGGTGATGTGGGGTGAGAGACACAGGGAGGTGAGGAACCAAGTCTTACCAGTATTTACCCAGTGTGGGTAGAACAGAGCCCAGCTCCTTTGGCTCTGTCTCTTGAGCCAGGTGTCCTGTCAGCTAGTGGAAAATCTTGTGCATTTATCAAAATTAGTATGTGATATCAAAAACCGTCTTTAGTTTCTCCCACTGATTAAAAAAGGACAAAGAACCTAAGGAATAGATGAGTGCAAACCTTTCTGCAGACTCTTGAAGTTATTCCATATTTTCCTGGTAAAACAGCACCAGTTTGCAGGTTTCAAAGTGAGGGCAAGATTTATCCCACTAAGGGAACTTTAGAGAAATGGCATGTTTTGCTTTACAATTTACATGTGCATAAAGCCCAACAAGAGGCACTGTGTGCTGATATTCCACGTGGAAATAACCAGGGTATGGTGTAGTACAGGTAGCACAGAGAGCTAAGTAAGCTTCCTGTGGGTTTGAAAATGGTGGCTTTGGATAGGATACTGATACAATATTCATATAACCTTTGCATGATACCAGTTATCTATCAGACTGTATTTCTGATCTGCACCTCCCAGGAAACGAATACTTACTCCAGTGCAAAATTTCTTATTCTGCAAAGCTTGACAACTTCGTCTGAGATCACTCTAAGCCAGTTGGCCCTTGCTTAAATATTCATCAGACTTCTGATAATTGTGATAACCCTTGTAGGCTGGCAAGCAAGGCAAATTAGCAAAAAGATGATTGATCTTTTTTTATATGCAGTTTTATCTTCAACCTTTCCTGGATATATGTTATACTATAGTAATAATTTCTTCTCTAAGGTATTTGCCAGTATCTGGATTTGCACATCTATTTACAGTTGCCTTGAAGCCTCATAATTACAATACAGCTGAAATGTCCATTTTCTTTCCCTGACTACAAATAGGGATCAATCGAATTTTAAATGACTGCTTAGGGGCTAGCTTCCGATCATGACCTTTGTAAATGATTAGAGCTCACCACTGTTGCTATCTACCTTGAAAGGGTAAGCGGGCAGCTCTGTCTAACTGGCATTTAATCTGGAAGAGAGCCAAAGATATTTGAGCTAAAAACCTAATATGAGTTGGCAAAGAGAAGTATGTATAGACCTTTGCACTATTATTTAGATATTGTTCTGCGTTTCTTTTTTGTATTTAGGGAATTCTTTTTTCCTGTAGATGAGATATATGTATTTTTAGATAATGTTATATTGAAGTTATGATAATAAAATATATAGCATGGAAGTGGGAAAAATGGGGTTTCAAACTTTAAATGGCTGAATTCAATTTTCAGAAGGATGAGAAAATAAAGAATGGTTTGGTTTGGAAGGGATTTTTGAGATAATCTTGTTCACCCCTTGCCATGAGCAGGGACACCTTCTTGTGTCCTGTCCAAGGTTGCTCCAAGCCCTCTCCAGCCTTGGACACTCCTGGGGTGGGGCAGCCACAGCTTCTCTGGGCAGCCTGTGCCAGGAACTCAGCACCCTCCCAGGGAAGGATTTTTTCCTTGTGTCTAATCCAAAAACACACTCTTTCAGTTTGAAGCCATTCCCTCATGTCCTGTCACTGCAGACCCTTGTCCAAAGTCCCTCTCTGTCTTTCTTGTCAGCTCCCTTTAGGCACAGGAAAGTCACAGTGGGGTCTTCCTGGGGCCTTCTGTTCTCCAGGCTGAACATTCCCAGTTCCAGCTCGCTGGAAGTTGCTGAGGCTGCCCTTGGTCCCAGTGTCTGCATCATGGACAGAGATGGGAAAGGTGCTGGTGCTGGTTGACAGCATGAGCCCAGGTGTGCCCAGGTGGGCAAGAGGCCAATGGCACCTGGGCTGTATCAGCAGCAGTGTGGGCAGCAGGAGCAGGGCAGTGCCTGCCCCTCTGTGCTGGGCACACCTCGAGCTGTGTCCAGCTTTGGTGCCACTCCCTTGCTGCCTCCAGTTCCTTGGTGCTGCCCTCCAGGGGCACTCTGGGCCACCTGCCACCCCTCTGGGCCACCTGCCAGCCCTGCCCTGGCTCTGAGCCTGTGCTGGGCTTGGCACCATGAACTGGAGCTTGTGACCAAAGGTGCTGAGGCACAGTGCTTGGTCACTGTGTATCGACTGCTGAATGAATCACCTGAGAACTGCACTAAAGACAAGGTGTGAGGTGGATCTGGGCACAGGTACATGGAGAAAAGAGACTCTACACTGGCACTTTATTGCTTAAACCTCCTTTCCTGGTAACGTTGGTTGAGATAATTCAGGCCCTGCTTGTGTGTACAGATCATGTGTGGGGAATGGCTGAGACACTTCTATCTCTGCTTGTCAGTTCAGTTCCATTTTAATGAAGAATTGTGCCTGTATCATGCAATGTTTTTATTACCACCACTGAATTTCTCAGTGTTGTTCTGTGCACTGCTGCTGAAGTGGGAACAAGAGTGACATCCGTGGGATTAGAAAAAACCCATAATATCTCAGTTTATGGATAGATTTTGCAAACCCAAAGTTTTGAGATTAATAAGAATTATTGCTAAGAGTTATGAATTCTTTTATCTAATTAAAATAATATATTGTGCTGCCTAATCAATTATTCTTCTGTGATATTGATCAGAGTATTTATTAAAATATTAGTGTTCCTGGGAACATGACACTTATTAACACTCTGAAAGAATTATACAGTTTATAGTGAATATGCAGCCTTGCCTCTCTTCTGGCCACAGCCTTTTCTCCTATTTTCTATAGCGTGCTATATTGTTACATAATTCAGCTTAGCAGTTGCTTCAAACTAGTCAAATGTATTCTTACCTAAAGCCTAAGCCCAGAAAGCACTGGTAAATTTAGTTTGTAAAGGTTTTTTGTCAGCATTACCTTTGGCTAGCATTTAGATGGAGATATTTTATTAACTTAGATTTTTTTTAAGAAAACATTAAGTATGTTTGAAATATTCAAAATAAATATAAGATTAAAAAATGAGGTTTTTTAAAGATTTGAATTGGTATTTACATTACTCTCATAAGTCTTAAACTAGAGAAGTGCAGTTAGTATATAGTACTTGCTAAGGCAGTTTTTAGTGAAAAGGATGGTGTTTTTGGAAACAGTTGAGATATTTGGAAGCAAAAATCCTGTGAAAAGTCATGAGAACTTCAGTACTTCATTATTCCTCTATAAATAATACTCTATTCTAGTACTCTAGTACTCTAGTACTCTATAAAATAGTACTGGGAGCAGTAAAATGCTCTCGGGGATTGCTCATGTGTGACTTGTACCTCACGCTTGCAGGTCTGAATGTGGCTATGGCAGGAGAATAAAAGCTAAAGAGAGTTCTTTCCTGTGTGACAGATGCAGCAGCAGGAGCTTGCCCAGATGAGGCAGAGGGATGCCAACCTGACAGCCCTGGCAGCCATCGGTCCCCGCAAGAAACGGAGGCTGGATGCACCCGGCCTGCTCAGCATAGGAGGAGAGGTAAGTGTGCACCCCGAGCCAGGGACATGAAATCACTCCTTCAGAACCTCCCAGGAACAGCTGGAGCTGCTGCTGCTCTCAGGGGACTGTGTCATTTGCAAATGCACATCAGCACCGGGAGCCCAGCTTGTCTTGCCACAGTTAACACAGCATCCCCTTTTAGTTGTATTTTCAAGTGTGAACTTTCAGCAGATAATTAAGAATATTTTTAAAATTGTTAAATGCAAAGTGTAGGTCTTAAACTGTTCACTGCTTTTTATGTCTGTTTTCTCCTCTGCATAATCTGAAAAAAACCCAAAAAGAATAGGGAATGGGGAAGTATCTGAGAAACCATAACTATAGTCTTGCTAACAATTTGAACCAAAAGCTTGTAGTAATTCCAGCGTGAGTTTATGATAAATGTGTCCAAACTTCTTCCAGAACGTCAAGGTGTCCCTCAGCACTGCAAAGATGAGTTTATAATCATGCTGAATTGTAATTTCCATAAGGATGCTGTGCTCTAGAAATAGGATCAAATTCATTAGCATGGTCCTCCTGTTATTTTAAGTGGAGAAGTAGCTGTACTACACAATAAATGCAAAGTTGTCAGAAGGCCGATGTGTATCAGGCCAGGTGGAGAGGCAGGGTGATGTGGTTGCAGTGCTGTGGGTGGCTCTGTGAGAGCACTGTGCTGTTCAGTGCAGATACACTTGGGCTGCTTCTCCTGCTGCTGAGTCTGCCCACGCAGTGGAGTCAGAGGAATTCTTCCCATTACATGCCTGTTCTGAGGAAAATGCAAACATTTTGTTTTGAATAACTGAACTAACAGTTTTGGCTCAGACATTTGACTGTCTAAATGCCAGGCATTTCCAAAGGCCTTTTTGTTTCCCATTTTGGAATAGCTTTTATCGACTTCTCTCTCTTTTTGTGTGCTAAGATTAGTGCTAGGGAATTAGCTGGGCTAGGAACAGAAGTGGATGTTGTTTATATTCTAAAATTGACTTAGGACTTCAGATACGTAGGAGGTGTTTCTGTTGCTGGTAAAATTAGTTTCAGACCGTGGAGTTTCCCAGGTTTTGTGTTGTCCTGTTATTTCCTTTCTTTCAGTCTCCCTCCTTTATCTTACAGTCAGTAAAGAATTCTGTTCTCCTCCACATGCACCTGTAACAAATCTCACCACAACAGGCCAAAGAAACTTCCATTAGAAGCTCAGCTGAGTGGTCGTAACTTTGGTTTTCCCTCATTTAAAAATAATTTTAACCTTCTAGTAATACATGAATCTCTTCAGATTTTAATACTCCACCAAAGGAATGTTTTCTCCTAAGGAACAGAATTTAATTTTTCTATTGTCCCTTTAAAAAAATTATTCTTTTGTAAGTACTAATAATTTGATGAACAAAATTATGGTCATCTTCAGTGAGTGAAGCATTTTAATCAGAGCTCTATATCTGAATGGATTATCATGAACAGCTTCTCTCTCTCTCTCTAGAAGCTTCTTGTTCTCTTGCTACAGTGCTTCAAGGAAAAATAAAGGTCTGGGGCAAATTCCAAAGGCTTCTAGATGTTTTTGCTTCCTTTTGCTGCTCTCCTAGCCCAAATTTTGCTGAACAACTGTATTGTTCAATTGGCAAACTGTCCTTGAAGTTTTTGCCGATCCATGGATTTCCTGGAGCCATGGATTGTGTGCCAGTTCAGCTGGAATTGCTGCCATCCCTCCTCTCCTAGCTTCTAACCATCCTGGCCAGCTCATAGACATGGCTGGCTGGAAGCTGATTTCGAGGTCTTGGAAACTGTATCTGCATTATTCCATGTCTTTTGTAAGGAACAGCACCTAAAGTACTGTAGAAGCTGTGTCTCACTGCCTTGGCTCCTAGAAACTCCCTTTCTGCTATTCTTCTGAGATTATTCGGGCTGCTAATGCAGAAATTAACTCAACTCCTCCAAAATGTTTCACTGTAAAAAGGTACTGGAATTTTGTATTATCTCTTCTTTGGGTTTCTGGGGATTATAAACATCATTCTGATTCTGTGTTCTATGGTACCAACACCCCCTTAGCCCAGTTCCACCTTCAAATATCCGACCTCCTCTGTGGTGACACTCATTTCTCCCAGCAATTTCTAAGCTGCTTAAAGCCCTTGCTACTGATAATCTCTGCTTGCAAGGTCTGACTTGGCCAGAGCTTTTTTTGCCTGCCCTTTTTTTTTTGATCAAAATACCCAGTTTTTGCATTGAAGTTGCTATCCTCCTCACTAACCTTTTCTGACTTAGGTGCCTGCTTTTGTTGCAGCTGGGGACCCTGCATGTTTACTGATCCAAAGAGATGTCATTTACAAATCCTGCCACCCTGGCATGTTCCTTTTCTTTTCCCTTTTCTGAACTAACTCTTGTTTGACACTTGACTTAGTTGCATTGGCCATTTTTCAGTGAGCAGTGCTGGGTTTCAGTCCAGCTTCCTGGTTTAACAGAAATACTAACAATTTTTTTTTAATTGGATCTTTTTAGTAATACTCTTTTCATCTGAGCAGGAGGTTTATTTAGGAGTAGTGATGGATATTCTATTTAAGACAAGAAGTTGATGGAAAAGATTAGTATTTCTGTATTTAAGAACTGTTTGTTGCTTAGAGAGAAATAGTTCTACAGTTTTTGGAAATATGAAAAAGCTTGTGTTAATAACTGTAAGTATTTTCTACCAGCACTTTATTTAAGAGTATTTTCTTGAAACTTGTTCTCTGTCTCACATCACGTTGCCAGAGCTCATTTGGACTTCTTTGCTCGCTTTCAAGCCATAGCTAAATAGACCTCTTTTTTTGGATGGCAGGATTATTATAAATTATCAAGACCAGGCCCATCAATTGTCTTTCCTGGACTAGTACAGCTAATTTTTTTTTTACTACTTTTACCTGGGGACATGGAAGATCAGCAGTCTTGGAGTGAGGTTGTTACTGCATGTTTTTTGTTTTTAATTTGCTTCTATATGCAACCATATAAAAAATGCCTTTCCAAAACATGGGAAAAATATTTTGTAGAACATGATGAGCAGGGGCTGAGTGTTCCCAAATAACACTGCTGCCAAGTGAGTGACTGGTTTGACCATGAGTACAGAGTGGCTGGGCTAATGTCACTGTGACCCCTGTCCCAATCCCTGCCTTCCTGCCCCTTTTGCTTGGCCCTGGCTCTTGTACCCATCTCCATTTGATAAATAGGAAGAAGACTGATATAACAGTAAACAGTAAAAAGTGAATAGTTCCTGCTCTGCTTGTTGAAGTAGTTTGGCCTAGAGCCCAGTGAACACTGCAAAAGGAACTTACAACCAGAGACAGCAAATGTGAGATCACCTGCACTTCATTCACTTCCTTTTTAGTACCTTTTGTGTGTGCTCATATTTGAGATGATCTGCTAGAAACACAGCTGCCTCTGTAGCAGCCAGCAGCTCATCAGTAATTCAGCCTGCTTATTATTGTAATGTGGTTTAGATCAAGAGTGAAGGAGGAGAGGTAAAGAGAAGTGAGCTACCTTTGGAAGGATTCAGCTTCTCTGCCTGGCAGAGTTGAAAATACTGCATTTGCAGAATTTTTTAGGAGTTTTCCATTTCTTTAATAATATTAGACAAAAATTATTGGAAAATCTCTTCTGAAGTCACAGCTTTTTGAGATTTAGCACGTGATTATCCAATTTGCTATTTAAGGACCCTGGCCCACATGATGTGTTCAGCAGCAGTGCTGCCCAGGTCTGATCTGTCCTGTGCTGCTCTTGTGGCACTCAGCAGTGGGTGACACAAACAGGTTACAACGTTCAGGACAGCAAGCACTGAAGTTCTTCAGTTAGCATCCCTAATGTCAGATTAAATAAAAGGTTTGGGTTGCTTTTGTTTACCTTAGTTACTTTTTGATTGATTTTGAATCTGTTCAGTTCACATTTTTCGTGTTTGTTTTTTTTTTTTCTTGAATTATAAGCCTTTTAAGAGTTAGCATTAAAATGTTGGTTTGTTTATGAAATAGATATTTTCATGTAATTGTAGGAGTTAAGGCTTTAAAAAAGTATTAGCCATCACAAGACTAGGTCAGGTATCTTTACAAGCTAAATACTTGAATACTGCTAAGGTGGCATGAATGCTGAATTTGCATATTTTCAAGTCCCTCATTTCTTATTATGGAATTAGTGTAGAGGTTAAATACAAGTATCTTTCTCTATTTAATAGTAATAATTAAATAATCAGGCTTTTCATTAAGATCTATGGCTAGTATCCCAAAATACATAAATACAGAGTATATGTTTGAAATATCTGAGGGTATAATTTGTTTAAATATCAAGTGAAAGCCCTCTCCTGGTACTTGCTGGCACAGATGGTTTTTGAATACTGAGCTTCCAAAGGCAGCTTCAGGGCTAGTTCAGTGAATCACCACTTATTGAAGACAGTCATTTTAGGGATAAGAAAAAGCCCTCTTCCTCACACAGCAGAAGAGCAGTCATCTTAAGAATATTCAGCAAACTATCCCAAACACCATCTTTCAAAATGTGCAGGACCATATGTTGGGCCAGTGCTCGAGGGAGATCTGATACTGTGTGTTTTCTCATCCAGTATATTCCAGCCATTATATTAGTCAAGAAAGATAATGTTCTTGCAGACGTGGAAAGTCCCAAAACTAACAGTTAAAACAGAGATGTTTTGTGTAGAGAAAAGCTAATTACTGAAGTGATTGTGAGATGTATTTTGGGTACGAGGCACCACATTTTTTAATTAAATTAATCTTTCAGATGGTATAATTTGAGTATTTTAAAGCTGCTTTCATGTTTAGGTTTTGTACAAAACATGATTAAGATTCTGGTTTAAGACTTGGAAATCTGTGTTGTACCAGAGGCAGACATAGAGAAGTTACTAAATATTGCTCTCTATTAGGTCTTTATACTTTTAGTAACTCCTGATTTCTAAGTGGAAATATAAGGATGGGTTCAATATTATGTGGGAAGCACTTGGGTATGAGCTACAGTTAGAAAAAAGTCCTTTTGACTGAAGTGTCTTTTGGGTATGCAGTACTGAACGTGATTCGTTTCACCATTTCAGCTGACAT